TTATTATTTATATATATATATAGTCTTTGTCTCAGGTTCCTGCCACAGCATTCCTAAAATCCGAGTAATTTCCTGAGTGGTAGAGGTGAGAGGAATGTCTTTTGTTATTCAGAATAAGCCTTTCCCAACCACATTGGAGTTTATACTAATAAAGTGATGGGGGCTCAGAGCCAAAGGAACCAACCAGGTGACCAGAGGGCTGGAGGTTGCCTCAATCACCAGTGGCCAGCGATTTAATCAGTCGTGCCTATGTAAGAAAGCCTCCATAAAACCCCTAACCCGGGTGTTGGTGAGCACTCAGAGGTGCTGGAGAGGGGTGCGCCTGGAAGGGACATGGGAGCTCCGAGTCCCTCCCCCCGTGGCTTGCCCTCTTCGTTTTTTCCATTTGACTGTTCCTGAGTTGTTTCTTTCTTTTATAATAAACTGGTCATCTAACAAGTAAAATGTTTCCCTGAGTTCTATGAGCCATTCCAGCAAACTAAGAAAGGAAGGGGTTGTGGGAATGCCCAATTTATAGCTGGTTGGCAGAGCACAGATAACCCGAAACTTACAGTTGATGTCTGTAGTGTTTGTGGGGCGGTCAGTCCTGTGGGGTCTGCACCAACTCCGGGCATCTGGTGTCGGAACTGAGTTAAATTGTGGGACACCCAGTCAGTGCCCACCGAGGACTGAATTGCTTAGTGTGGAAACCTCACACATCCAGGATCCAAGTGTTGGTGTGAACCCAGAGTAGAGTTTTCCCTCACTTGTCTCACACACACACACACACACACACTCATCCTTGGGATGAGCAGCCTGGCAGTCTGATACCAGTTCTCTGCCAGACAGCCTCCTGATTTGACAGCCTCTGGCAGGGTCCCCAGGTGGGCAGCTTCAGTCAAATAGCCTGTGGTGTCTGCCTGACAGCGAATGTGACGCTCAAGACACTGGGTCTGGGACTCAGACAGCCTAGTGTCCTGGCCATGTCACTCATGGGCTGTGTGGCTTTGTGAAAATTCTTTTGCATCCCTGAGTCTTGATTTCCTCATTTATAACATGGGGTTCACAGCAGTATCCACCATATAGGGTGGTGGTGTGAATTTATTGAGCTATACCTGTCAAACACATAGCAGGGTGCTTGGCTCAGAGTAAGCGTTCAATAAATAATATTCCTAGAAAAAGTAACAGTGAGGCAGAGGCCCCAGCTAGTGAAGAAGTGTTTTAGGTTCGCACTTTGCCAATTACTACGACAGGTGGACAGACTCATCCCTGAAGGTCTGGGACCCGGGCTTGTGAACTCGGATTGCCGTTGGATGGGCTGGGCAAGGCTCAGGAATCCGTCTAGATGAGCTGAGAGCTGGAGCCTGCTGAGCTGCACCCTCCTAGCTGAGCCCTGCCCCTGGTTCCAGGTCTCTTACCACCTCTAACAGCCCTGTTCTCCATTTTGCAGCCAGAGCCCCAGCTTGGAGACCTGATTGAGATTTTCCGCCCTTTCTACAGACACTGGGCCATCTACGTTGGCAATGGATATGTGGTCCACCTGGCCCCCCCAAGTAAGGGTGCCTGGGTCCTCTGCTGTGCTGGGGCTGAGAGGAGAGGGAGCTGGGGGAGCTGTGGGTGACAGGGGACTCCAAAGTTCTTCTCACTCCCCAACTGGTGGTTGGTTCCTGAGTGCTACAATAAGACAGCTGGGTGTCGGGTGATGGTTTTCAAACTCTTCTCCTTAGAACCCCAGGGGTTTGCAGAGAAACTAAGGCGAGCTTCCAAGAAGGCAGGTCTGCTTTTGTGTATTTTATATGTTATGACTTTGTATAAAACACTTTCAATCTTTAAGCATAAAACTCCTGGGACGAGCACGGGTATTTGGGCTGCAGTCCTGGCTGTGAATTCAGTTTCACTCTCCAGCCTTGGTTTCCTTATCTTCAAACTGAGGCTAAGAACACTTGACTTGGGGAATTGTGAGAATTCCTCACCCCTTTTCTCAAACTTTTTACTTAAACTGAGATATAATACCACTAATAAAGTGTGCCATATAGTCAAGTGTAAAGTCAGTGGATTAAAAAAAAAATGTATCCATCCATGTGACAATGACCCCTAAAAGGCTCCCCGCTCCTGTGCCTCTTCCATGTCGTCTCTCCCACCCCAGAGGCAGCCACTTTTCTAGGTTCTCTCACTGCAGGTTAGTTCTGCCTGCCCTAGAACTTCAGGGAAGAGGACTCACACAGCCTGTGCTCTTTTGTGTCCGGCTCTTTCACTGGGCCTGTGAGAGTCGTCTGTGTTGTGAGTAGCAGAAATTCTTTTTCATTGTGGTGTATCTTCTGTTCTATGGATACACCTCAGTTTGCTATCCATTCTTCCGCCTGATGGACACCCAGATGGCTTCTAGTTGTGGGCTGCTCTGAGTGCCATCCAGTGATTACTGCAGAGAAGGTGAATGGGATTTGAAAAAGTGCATCCCATCCTTCTCGGAGCAAAGGAAACAAAGCCTCACAGCTGCTCCCAGAGGTGTGACACCAGGGAGGCCCAGCGGGTACACTGGCACAGCCCTGGCCGAAGCTGAGAGGCTGGGAGGGGCAACAAAGTTCCAGGAATGAAACTGCCTTGAAGAAAGGTATTCAAGGGTCAGCACAAGGACCAGGATGGTGGGGGAGGGAAAGCTAATGCCAGCACACGGACTGGGCATCTCTCTGGAGCCCAGCCAGCCTGCCCTGTGCAGGGAGGGGCGTGCTTTGGGTATGAGGGCTGGAAAAGTGGGTGTGCACTAAAGAGGCAGACCTCAGGGAACATCATGAGGGGAGGCTCACTCTCCCTCAAAGAGCCTCTGTGGCCCTGCTGGGATCGGGAAGCCTCAGGGCTCTTCCCAGCAGGGGAAGCACCCTGTTACCCTGGGCAGGACCCAACTTGGATCTGTCTTTTGCTGACCAAGAATGGTAGCAAACTAATGACTTCACCTTCTATTTACTGAGAAGTCAGAAGTAACCAGAGGCAGGGGGGAGGGTATAACTCAGTGGTTAGAGTGAATGCTTAGCATATATGAGGTCCTGGGTTCAATCCCCAGTACTGCCATTAAAATAAATAAATAAACCTAATTACCCACCCCACCCTCCCAACACACACACAAAAGAAGTAACCAGAGATGTCATCTTCCCACCCCTGATCAGCCAAACCACCAATATCTGCCCCCACATAATCTGCCTTTTCTTCTGTTAAAATGCAAAAGTACCCCAACCTTTGTTAAAAATCCAGCCCCTGTGTGTGGGCTCTGGCCCCCCTCCCCTTACTTTCATAAGCACTTTGCTCCTCAAACTCCCCTCTTTCTTAGGTATTGCTCCTCTTGGCCTAGAGATCACTGTAATATCTTCTGTTGACAAAACAAACAATGCCCTCCTCGATCTCACATCTTCTCTACCTAACTCCCGTGGAGCAGATCTCTGGTCTACCACGGCCATTGGCCACCGCTGGTTCCTCACTTCCTTCCTTTCTTCTCTTCCCTCCACCTGGATCTCTTATTTACCCGCTACCGGAGCAGCAGGTATCCAGGCTCCCATCAATACTACCGATATTCTGTTCACAGCTTCCTTGGCTTTTCTGTAGCATCTGACACGAGTGACCTCTCTCTACTCTTCATCTGGCCCCTGCCTTTCTTCCTCTCCTACTGGAGACCAAGACTCCTTGGTCTCCTGTGTGGGCTCCTCCTCTCCTGTATCCCCAGTCCTTACTTTCTCCAAGTGACCTCACTGGGTCTCCTGACTTCCAACACCTTCTATTTGTTGATGTCTCTCTAAGACCATAACCTTATCTTAGGCTTCCCTGCTCAGCTTCAGACTTGTATAACTTCTTGACTACTTGGCATCTTCACTTGGGTGTCTCATCGGCATGTTGAACTTGACATGCCACACATGGAGGGTTCTGGTGGACAACACCATCCAGTTGCTCACGCCAGAAATCTCGGTATCATCCTCGGTCCTTTTCACCCCATGTATAATCCATCATGAAATCCCATTGGCTTTATCTCCCAAATCGACCCCCAATCTGGCCACTTCTCAGCGTCTCCGCTGCTGTGCCCTCCGATAAGCTACCATTCTCTCTCTTGCCTGATGAGACTGCAACTTCCAGGTGGTCTCTCTGCCTCCTGCCTACTTACTGTCACTCCTTCCTCCCCTGGGCAGCCAGCATGATCATTCTAAAGTATAAATCCAATTATGTCACTCCCCTCCTTAAAATGTCCACAGGCATTTCCATCACACATTGAATAAAATTCAAATCTGTGCTCTAGCCCCTGCGGGCCTGCCCAGGACCCATCCCTCTGCTTCCTCTTGGTGAATCCACAGGTGAAATCCCGGGAGCTGGTGCGGCCAGCGTCATGTCCGCGCTGACCGACAAGGCCATAGTGAAGAAGGAACTGCTGTACGACGTGGCGGGGACAGACCGGTACCGGGTCAACAACAAGCACGATGGCAGGTACCCGCCGCTGCCTCCCAGCAAGATCGTCCAGCGGGCGGAGGAGCTGGTGGGGCAGGAGGTTCTCTACAAGCTGACCAGCGAGAACTGCGAGCACTTCGTGAACGAGCTGCGCTACGGCATAGCCCGCAGCGACCAGGTGCGTCCCCGCTGTGTCCGCGTCCCCGGGAGCCGGACCGCCTCCTCAGCTGTCAGGGCGTCTGTCGGGGCTGGGCTGGGCTGGAGACAGAGGCGCGAGCAAGACCAGGTAGCAGAGGCAGAATCCCTGCCCTCGAGGACGACACGGTGGGGTGGGGACGGGGGTGGGGAGCTGGGCGCTGCAGACCAGTGCGGTCCCGGGGCGACGTTCGAGGTTGGAACACGGCCATCACCGTCAGCCGGCTTGCCGAGCCCTCCCTGGCCGCCTGGCCCTGAGGTTGACCCTTCCCGCAGCCCCAGAGGCAGGATTCATTATCCCGCTTTACAGATGGGGAAACTGAGGCTCCCAGAGCTTAAGTAACTTGTTGGTGGCTATTCATTTCATCAAACAAATCTGTGTTTCTCTTCTCCTGGGAGTTGTCTGCGACTGTGCTGTCAAGTTGCAAAGGTGGGATTTGAAGCCCAGGTCTGTTTGACATGGTTCCGGTGCTTACAGAAAGCACTGTGCTCAGCCCAGCTGAAACCCCAGATCAGTCCAGGAGGCCCCAGCCCAGGCAGTTGTTTACTTACTTACTTGATTTTGGCCATGGCCCCTCTCTTTTTTGAATCTCTTTTTCTCCTGGGTAACTAGTTTCCTTCTCATTTTCTCTCACCTCCTCCCCTGCCTTTCTGCCCCTTTGACACCTTTTTTGTTTTCTTTTTCTTTTTTTTTTTTTTTTTTGGTGACAACATAGTCTGGAAAAGTTCTTAGCTGTCTGTTGATGCAAAAGAGTGTGACTTTAAAAATTTTTTTTCTTTCAGTGAATGGCAGGCAGTTAATTTTTATTACTTTTAAATTTTTTGAGGTCTGGTCTCCTCTTCCTCGGTCAGTGTCGGGCTCATGAGCATGGGGCCCTGGAGTCAGGCAGGCCTGGGCTGGATCTGGGCTCTGCCTTTGCCAGCTTTACGACCTTAGGAGATTTATTCAAGTTCTCTAAACCTTGAGAAAGCACCAGTGATAATACTGATCTTAGAGGGTTACTGCATGAATTAAATAAGAGCATCTTTAGGCACCCTAACGGTGCCAGCTCAGAAACTGCACTTAATAAATTATAGTAGTAACAGTAGTCAAAATTGCCCTCATCTTCATTCTTTTTCTTGGTTCATTCTCTGTTTTGTCCACTGGCCTATCGGGGCCACAGTGACTTGATGGGGAGGACATATCACTTTTCTCTTCCTAAAGCTTTAGTCTGATCCCCCACCCATCCACCCAAAAGAGGCAAAACCATGACAACACAGTAAAACAGTATCAACAATTCTATTGAACCCCCTTCACAGTACTCACAGTAAATGAAACCAGAGCACACTACGAAACAAGAAGAGGGGCCATCTATACTGTTTCCCAAGATTTCCTCTCTCATTTCTTGGCCGACATGAGGGTTTCTTAGCCTCAGCACTGTTAATATTTTGAGCCATTGACAAGTTCGATAAGTTCTCTCTGTTATGACTTGCCTTGTGCATTGCAGGATGTATAGTGGCATCTGTGGCCTCAGTGCACTAGATGCTGGTAGCATCCGCACCGCTAGTTGTAAGAACCGAGATGTCTGTACATAATACCAGATTTCTCCCAAAGAGCAAACCTGTTCCCACGTAGGTGAGTCATGATGATAATACACGCTGTGGCCAAACTAAAATGTAGCTTCCATACTTGTCCCATCCCACTGGAGATGGTGGGTTTAGTGGGTGTTGGACAACATCTAGCACTAATTTTCTTTGTAATCGCTGTCAAAGCAGTGACCTTCTTTTTCATTTAACTCAGGAGGACATTTTTGTGTGTCTTTAAAGAATCTGCTTGGCCATTATGTTTATTTGTGTTTGGCTCTTTGAAGTCGACTAGATTTTCTTTCTTTCTTTCTTTTTTTGTAGCTTAAGCAACAGAAATTTATTTTCTCATAACTCTAAGGGATAGATGTCTGAGATCAAGGGGTTGGCAGAGTTGGATTCTTGGAAGCTGACTAGATTTTCCTCCAACAGAAATATTTGTGACTTATCTAACTTTCCAGATAAAAAGGGAGGCAAAGCAATGGATTGAAACTAAAAGGTAGTTTGTGCTTTACATACCTAAAAGTATTCTTGAAAAGTTTCTCCTGTTTTCCACCTACCTAACTAAAAATACTCAGGCTTTGAAAAATGTATACTTAGTAAACTTTCGTAAATAAGCCTTCATACTGAATAGTACTTAAAAAAAAAAAGCAACTGGGAGCTACACTCATGCTGAAGTCTACTCTGTTTCAGATAAAATATTAAGATATAAGATAAATAGAAATTGAAGATGTGGACGATGATGATGTATATATTACACAAACCTGGACAAATTGCAGAGTATTATTTAAAAATGACTGTAAATATTAAAGCCAAATTTCTGTACAAATATTTTATAGCCATTCTTATTTTGTAAACTCTCTTAGACTGAGCTCAATTGCTTTCTGAATAACGTTACTCTTATATTCACTTAGAACATTGCTGAAAGTAAAGAAAGCACCTTAGAATTTTCTTTTCCCCAGAAACAATTCCGGGGCTTAACTCAGAGAAGCTGTGTAGCATATGCAATGAATTGTCTGCAGTCTGATAGATTTTCAGTTTGCCCATGTTAAAAAAAGATGGATTTCTTAGCATTTTTAATGATGGGGAATTTTTCTCTTTTTTAATCTTCTTATTGAAGACCTGGGACACACGCCATGTAGCCCATTTCCATGATCAGAACTCCTGTAATTTCAGGAGTGGCTGGGCTGACTCATCGGCCTTGCAGCAAGAAAAGTCCTCAATGGCATCTGAAGGTAGCCCTGTCTCTGCCGGGCAGATCATTCTTTCCATAAAATTTGCACTATCAGGGCTAACTATATACTACTTTCTTGGATTCAGTCACACACTTTGACTCGGTACAAAGCCTGAGCACAAACAATGAGGCTATTGTTGTTTTCCTTGACAAAGTATCTTTTGTACGAACTGGCTGCATCAGCGTTTCTTCTCACACTGTGAGGTTCTGTAAAGAACTGGAGGCTTATTGTTCCTACTCCATTATCTGCAAACCATTTCTCCCACCCTGACACATAGCTGAGGAAAGAAAACACTGGCTACAAGTGGTTCTATGCAGGGTCCCTAGCAAGAATGCAACAGAACCATGGTTGCCACAAAGCCAAAACTAATTACCTTTAATTTAAGAGGAAGGTCTAAAGACTGCCTGGCAGTCAAACCCTAGGTCAGTAGCTTCATTCAAACCTTTGTTGCCATGCGTTCTGCCGCTAAGGACACCAGTTCTGGGTACCTTGTGATGTTAGTTATGCTGGTGTATTTCCTGGCATTTCACATGACTATGCTGGACATGTTTATGGCTAGAGAGGACTGAGTGGTGCCAAGATATATGTATTTTAACCATTGACGCTTTCCAAATTCTTCTCTATGTTGGTCATGTGGGAGTTTTGCAGCCACAGCATATACAACCTAGGCAAACTTTGCGTTTAGGGTGCCAAGAGCAGCGTTGGTGTTGTGGTGTAAGGATGTGGGTTTGGGTACCAAGTCCACCTTTTCACCCTTTTTATGCTTGAGATTTTTGATACACTGTCTTCGTTGGATTTCTTGGCATAAAGTGGTTAAGAATTTTTTCCTTTGCTGTTCTTGATTCTGCTTAACTGCCTGGCTTGGTTTAAGGGCTAGATTTCTTGATCTGTGCTCATGACACTCTTAGTGGGAAAAAGTAAAGTTTTGCTGATTTGGGGCACTATGCTTTCATTGGGGACAGTCGCTCTAAGATGAAGAGAGAGTTTGTTCTCCCTTTGCATTGTCACAGGAGCTGATGTTCCCAGAGTTGGGGCCTGGGTAATGCTAGAAGTAGGAAGAGGCTGAACGTAATTGCTGTTGGTTGCAGATCTGAATCACTGCCACTCAGTTTTGTTACCTTCAGTGTCGCTGCTACACCTGGTAAGACATGAAGGGCTGAAATAGTGGATGTGGGGACATTGTGGCTAAGGGGGTGGGAAGGAAGCTGGGGAAAGGGCCATCGGATACACTGGCCTTTCAGCCAGACTGCAGAGGGGGCAACACAGTCTGCTGGGAATGGTTTCTAAGCTTCGGAATGCATCCTCACCACTCACTGATAGAGGCTCTTTATCTGCACTGAATCTGAAGCTCTCAGTGTTTTTGGAGCTCAAGTCCATGGTTGCCATGTTTCAGTTCCGTGGCAGACTATCAGGTTCTGGAGTTGTAGATGAACAGAACAGTGTTGTGTACATCAAACGTACTTGAGTGCTGAGGTGAAGAAAGAGCTGGCTGTACTGAATCTAATTCTTAAAAGCTTATTAAAAGTAGACAAATCCCTGAAATCTGAAACACCAATAGCAATGCTAGGTGCACTTTTAGGCACTTGAGATAAACCATATTGAAGATCAGAGGTCAAAGGCAAAGGGGAACGTTCCAAACAAAGTGGAAGATGAATCTGAGCTGTGTATGTGTGTGTGTGTGTGTGTGTGTGTGTGTGTTTGTCCTCTCAAGGCAATTGCCCATCACTGGACAAAACCAAGCTACCAAAACAGTTGCTTCTGTTAGATCCGAGCCAACATAGTTATCTGTATAATAGGTTAGCAGCATTTTCTTGCGGCTGTTTACTAGAATGCTTGTTTGTCTTCCTAAAACTTCCTGTAGTCTATACCCCCAGGATGGGATGGTTTCATCATCACCTTCTTGACTCTCAAGTTTCGTAGACATGGTGTTGATGTTTGAAATTAGTGGGTGCAATAAAGTTTTGTATCAGGTTCCCAGGCTTACTATTTCTTTGTCTTTTGTTCTTTCCGGGAAAGTTTTCAAATTTAATTTTTAGTTTTTCAAGGTTATACACGCACACAATTTGCAAAGGCAACCAGCACCAAAGACTTACAATAAAACACAGGATTCCTTACCACACCTCTCTCTACTCCTCCCAGCCCCCATCCCAAGAGGCCACCACTCTTCTTTTAGTCATTTATTTTG